GGGCTCTCTATTCTATTCCATTGGTTCATATGTCTGTCTGTCTGTCAATACCACATAGTTTTGATTACTGCTGCTTTACATACACATATACTGCTACTATATTTTGAAAACAGATATTGGGTCCTCCAATTTTGTTCATCTGTTAAAAGACTGGGCTATTTTGGGTCTCCTACGATTTCATATGAATTTTAAGATGTGTTTTTCTGTTTTTACAAAAAACGTCATTGGAATTTTGGTAGGAATTACACTGAATCTGGAGATTGTTTTGGGAAATATCGACATATTAACAATTTAAATCTTCCAATCCAAGAATATGGAGTGTTTTTTACTTATGTGTTCTTTAATTTAAGCAATGTTTTGTAGTTTTCAGTGTACAAGTCTTTTGCCTCCTTGGTCACATGTATTCCTAAGTATTTTACTCTTTTCGATGCAAATATCCAGGCCATTGCTTTCTTAATTTTCTTTTGGATTATTCATTATAGTGTGTAGAAATGTCTTAATCAAATTTTAAGCTATGTCCTGCAGATAATTTCAATCTAGTCTTTTATTTTTTTAGACTAATAATCATAATTGTTTTGGAACCCGTTTCTGATCATTCTGATAACAAAAGTCTCTACAGGTCTGTTTTTGTTGGTTCATGTTCATGGTGCCCTGTTTCCTTGTGTGCTTGGTTACTTTTGACTGATTTCGGTTTGCTGTCCTTGAGAACTTACCTGAGGGAATTGTTCGAGGTCTAAGATAAAGATATATTCCTCTACAGAGGAGTTTTTATTTCTTCTAGTCATGTATAGACACTAAGGTATTTTTACGTGTGTATGTATACACGTATATGACTAATATATATCAAATTCATAATTTGAGGTTTGCTGGACCACCCAGACAATATAATTTAGGTTGTAATCCATGTGATTTCTGTATTGGGCCACAACTTCTTGGGAACAGGTATTATTCCCTTTCTTTTTCTCCCCTGTTTCACTAAGCATCAAGACAACTTTCCCTGAATTCTCCTGAACATGAGTTTATCTCTTGTTCATACTATTAGTCTTCCATACTTTCGTGGACAATACCCCTTTGGTTCCTTCTCTGTGGATTACACCCGGGACCAAAACACAAACTGCTAATGCCTTCAGGGTAAAAGAGGTTTTGGAGTTCTGGAAATCCATTTACCTGGTTTTCCAGTTTCCCTTCAACTTTGGTCTTATAGTTTCTTAGCATCATATCCTACTATCGTAGTTTCTTACTCCTTGATGCTTTTAAGGAAATATGTTTTACGTGTTAGCCAGTATTTTTACTTGTACGCAGAGGGAGAGTTGGTCCAAATAATCTAGCTCACTATTACCAAAAATTCCAGCAATACCTTATTAAAAAAACTCCCTCTGTACTTGACATCCCCTACCATCTTCTCTTTTCTCCTTCATAGTTAAACTTCTTGAAACAATTGTCTATATAAACTATAACCACTCCCACTTCCCATTAACTCTTCAACCCACTCCAAAGTTAGCTTTTGCTTCTAATACTACCAAAAGTGCTCTAGATAATGTCACCTACAAGCACCATCTTGTTGATTTTTATGAATATTCATTGTATTTGATCTCTTAAGCAGAATTGGAGAGACTGTCTCATTCCTTTCTTGTTAAAATGGCCTTTCTTGATATTCATGATACCACATTCTTATGGTTTTATGTATACCCTTCTGCTCTTCCTTAACTGATCTAGGAGTTCATCACAATGGGATTTAACAGTAAATGCTCTTTAATTTATTCTTCTCTTCAGTTTTAGAAATTATCTATGAAATTTCTTCTAGTAGAAATAGGTACCACAATCTCTGTGTTAAAACTACTGTGGCATTTATCATACCACAAATGGTTACATCTGTCTCCCTCTTATTCCCCCATACTAAGCTCTTTTAGAGTAAGTCCAGAACTAAACATAAACACTGAATAACTGGATGTCGAGTAAATTGATGAATAAATGAACAAAGGTTAACGTGCTGTTAACTTCACTCAATTATATTTTGGCTAATTTCTTGAAGAGCAGGTATAAATCCAGACAGATTCACAACGTTTTTACCGATTGGATAAAATGTATTTGCTACGAATCTATTATTAACACAAAAGGACTATTCATTAAAAATTATGTGTAATTTATGTTCAAAATATTCTAATAACTTACACAGTATATGCAAATAAAAATAAAATATGCAAAACAAGAGAAATTACAGTGGTTTTAATTTGGGGGAGCAGGTGGGAAGAAGCTGTTTCTGAAAGTCAGAAAGTGAGAATTTTACTCTGATAAAAGAAGAAACAAAGGCACAGGCTTCGGTTTAATAAGTAAGCGTTAGAGGAGCAGCCTTCTAAGGAATAAATGGAAGCCTAACAGAGCTTTTTGCAATCAAGTAGGAGAAACTCCAGGGACAGCTGGTCTTTCTTGAGACAGATGCAACTCCTGGGTTTCCGTTCTGATCTTTTTTTAAGGTAGCGGAGCAGAATACTTAAACTGAATTACACTTGGGCTACAGTTGCTGGTCTATTTCTCAAGTGAGAAATAGTGCAGCAGTTAAGATTTCCAGGATGCAGGCGTAAAATTCAATCCCAAACAACTCTAAAAACTTCTTCCAGAGACAAACGAAAGTTTTGAGCGTTGAGAAATGGTATTCTCCTGGGGGTCAAATCTTGACAGAGACGCACACAAAACGTAGCCCTTGCCGGAACAAACGTTAGAACCCACCCGCTGTGGGCCTCCCTCCCCGTTGGTGCTCACTCTAGGTTTAGCCAGGGATCCCTGTGCGTGCCCACCTGCATGGTGTTCCCCTTCGCTCGTCAGGTGGCGGCGGTGTCTTCCTGACACCCCAAGTCTCCTTCAGGTTGGAGGCGAGCCCGCCAAAGGCCTAGCCGTTTCCACCGCCCGGAAGAGGGGGCAGGAGGGGGAGGGGAGAACAAGGGCCTCCTTCGCTGGTGCACCCAGCGCGGCTCTGTTGCCGGGCAACGTGGAGGCGTGGCCTAGGGGCTGGCTGTGAGAATGCACCAGGTCCTGCCTGGGGCCTGTGTACTGAGTGGTGCCTTACCTGTTAGTACTGGTGCTCATATTCCTCCCATCCCTCCTTCCACTACCACCAAATCGGCACGTTGTCTCAGAGCCTCTGGCACCCTTCAGCTCCTGAGTCCTGTCTTCTTCAAGAAAGAACCAAATCCTGGGGAGAGAACCCTTCAGAGGAGCCCATAGACTATATTTGGATGGATTTCAGGGGACCACTAGCTCACAGACCCCAATTGTGCATCATTTCGTCGTATGCCTAGGTTTGTGTTGGGGGTCTTGGGCGTTTAGGACCAGAGGTTTCATCAGATTCTCAAATGGTTCTCCACCCCTATCTAAAAACCCACTGTCTTAGAAGACAGGAGTTCTGACTTTACGTAGAAAGCCTAGACAGGTGGATTCCTTGGTGGTTAGGTTAAGGAAAGGGTGTTTACTGGTAGCTGCCAGGAACGTGAGGAAAACATTTGATATTATCACCAAATAAGGTTATCTACATGGTCACAGAGATATACTGGTAGGATTTGGAAAAGAAGAAAAAAATGTTTTTAGTGACACAATTTTAAACTCGGGTTCACTATTAGACCGCTCCACCTGTAGTGCCCGGTTAATATTTAATGAAAATCCTATACTCCTGGTAGCCTATATGTTTTGTTGTGTTTGTATATAAAATATTAATTTGTTAAATATAAAATATTGTAGAACATCCCACAATTTTTGTAACCATGTTTTGGTATTTTTTCTTCTTCTTCCTTTTTCTTTATATCCTGGAAACCCTAAAATGTAAATAACCTAAGTCTCTCTGTATTTCTGAGAGGCCTGAGGAACTGCTGCTTAAATTAATATTCAACTGGTTTTATTTTGACCATCCAAAACCCTAGCTAGTTGAGTTACTAATCCTCCCTATTCTAGAGTCACCCTCCTCTAACCAGCCAGCCTGCTTTGTGGTGGAGGAGGTTATCCAAGAGGGAAGTGAGAAGGGAAAAACCCAGGGGAACCTGAATGGAAATAATCTCAACCTCCATCTGAGGTTAATTCTGTGTCCAATAAGCACTAATTTGATGTAAAATGTTTTCCAAGTGTGTTCATGATCCTCTACTGGTGACACTGTTTTCTTTCTGGTAATGGATGACACTGGTTGCCTTTCAGATGTTGCAGAGTGAAATGACTTATTTTGAGATAAGTTGAACACTACTCGTTGGTAGATAAAGCTAACCCCCTGATATGTTTGTAGTAATCAGATATTTATTTTACAGCAGATAAATCAGAACTTGCTTATTGGACTATTTGATGGATCATGGCCAACTTCAACTAGTGTAGTTTTAGTTGGTATTCACATTCTAAGAGAGTAAGTTACTGGACACTATGGTATTATAAGAGTTGGTGACTTTGTCACTGATGAAATCCAAATAGGATAAACTAAAACAGCTCATTAAAAGTCAGCTCTCTTCTGAGTGCCTTTAATAAAAATAACAAAAGAGCATGTGTATCAGTACAGTTGACTCTGAATAACACAGGGGTTAGGAGGGTCCTCCCATGCATCAAAATCCTAGCACAACTTTTGACCCTCCCCAAACTTAACTACTAATAGCCTACTGTTGACCAGATGCCTTACCAATAACATAATCGATTAACACATATTTTGTATGTTATATGTAATATATGCTGTATTCTTACAATAAAGTGAACTACAGAAAGTGTTATTAACAAAATAATAAGAGAAAATACATTTACATTACTGTACTGTATTTTTTGAAAAAGTCCTTGTATAAGTGGACCTTGCAGTTCAAACCCATGTTGTTCAAGGGTCAACTGTACTGTCAAAAGCTGCAGGGATCTAAGGAACATCATTATGTACAGCTTTATTATCTAAGAAAAAAATATTTTAAGATGTTTTTAAAATTGTTGACAAATTAAACATTTTATAATCTCAACCAACTTTTATTGAGAATGTTTACAACACAGGGATTGTCAAATACAGTAAGTTTAGCAAGGATTGTTTTTGAGAAGAAAACAAAATGTCAACATTTTGCTGCTTCTGTGGAAAATTGTTGGTCCTGTATAAAAACAAAAATTAAGTTTAGAGTCAAGTATAAATGAGTCTGTGAAGGAGGGTAGGCAATGTTAGCATACAGACATTTCTATAAATATTTCTTCATGTATGATAAAATTGACATCAGGACCATTTCTCAGCTATTCTTCAGTCTGTATAGTTTTAGTTATTAATCTCTCTCTGATAGAACACTCGTTCTATGTGTCTGTATTTCCCAAAACTTTATAGAGTATTTAACTATATAAAAGTTTCCTAAAGCTCATTGATGCCAGTAAGATCTAAGAATAAAATATTTTAAAATTTGCACAGTTATTCTTCATTTATTTATTTCCTTTTGTATGTGCAATTAAATCAAACCCCATTTTATGTCTAACCATTTTTTAAAATGTCTAACCATTTTCTAAGTAAATAGAAGTCATCAAGACAGAGAAAGATCTCAGATAATCAGATGAAAAAAAAAACCAAAAAATGACTATTGAGCTGTTTATTACAAAATACAATGAAATCTTAAGTTAGTCTGTGTAAACCCTAATCTTGAAAACAACCCAAATAAAGCAATTTTTGTCAAATTCAGAGAGAATTTTTAACTAAATTAACCAAATCATGGATTAATTTCCATTTCACATTTGTGAAGACTCTACCACTTGGTTTGGTGTTAACAATCACAGACATTTTTTTCAATTAGTATTAAACTATTTTTTGTCCACATTTTGTAAATATCTCTATCTTTGTAATATTATAAAGCATAGCTTCTTTTCCATTGACGCTTTGGTCTTAGCTCCTTAAAAAAATAAAAAATTAAGAATTTATTTGCTCAGGGGCACCTGGGTGGCTCAGTCAGTTAAGCATCTGACTTCAGCTCAGGTCATGATCTTATAGTTCTGAGTTCGAGCCCCATGTCAGGCTCTGTGCTGACAGCTCAGAGCCTGGAGCCTGCTTCGGATTCTGTGTCATCCTTTCTCTCTCTGCCCCTCCCCTGCTCACACACAAATACTCTCTCTCTCTCTCTCTCTCTCTCTCTCTCTCTCAAAAATAAATAAACCTTAAAAAAATTTTTTTAAAAGAATATATTTGCTCATATTTCTGATGTGAATATAACAGGCCTTTGCTAAAATAGGAATTAATGCCAAATATAGTCCAACAATTTAAGTTCCTAATTTTGCCCCATGAGCACATTAAAATTTTCTTCACTTTTTCAATATTTGTCTCTTTTATTTCTTTCTTATGTACTGAATTGGCTAATGCATAAGAACTACATTAAATAAGAGGTAACAGAGCATCCCTGTTTTGTTCCTGACATTTCAATAGAAATTCTTCAAAGTGTTTTACTATCAAGACTGCTACTGACTTTGAGACCATTATATAAATAATGTTAATAAAGATTCATCTCTTTCTAGAAGATGTTCTTTTAAAACATCAGAAATTGGGAACGCCTGAATGGCTCAGTTGGTTGAACGTCTGACTCTTGATTTTGGCTCAGGTTATGATCCCAGGGTTGTGGGATTGGGCTCCATGCTAAGCGTGAAGCCTGCTTAAGATTCTCTCTCTCTCTCTCTCTCTCTGTCCTCTCCCAGCTTGTGCACGAGCTCTCTCTCTCCATCTCTCTAAAATTAAAAAAAAAAATGGACAAAAATAAAATAAAACATCAGAAATTGATGTGGAATTTTGAGATGATTAAATAATTTTTCTTCTAATGGTGAACATATTGTAAAAGAATTCCTGATGTTGAACCATCCTGAGTTGTTGGAACAAACTTCACTTTTTTGGAGTTACATAATTTTTTAAATATACGGCTGAATACAATTTACTAGTATTTCTTTAACATTTTTGTATTGATATTTATAAATAGGATTGACCTATAGTTTCTTTTTATATACTACTTTTATAAGGTTTTGGTATTAGTATTTGCTGGCTTCATAAAAAATATTTTGAGATTTTCTTCCATCGCTGAGCTGTAAAAGTTCAAAATCCGTTGGTCTAGTACTTTTGAGCAGGGAGTTTCTAGATAATGTTTTCAATTTTTTCCAATGGCCATTAGTCTGTTCAGATTTTTTTTCTTTCTTCTGAAGACAATTTTGGTAGTATCTACTTTACCAGACAATCCTCCATTTTATTCAGGTTTTCAAATGGGTAGGCACAAGATTTGCAAAGTACTCTCTTATGGTTTCCATTTCTTCTATATCTGTTTTAATTTCCTTACTTTCATTTGTATTTTTGCATGTTTATGGTTTCTCCTTTTTTTTCTTGATTAGGGTGGGCCAGTTAGGCTAGTTTATTTTATTTTATTTTTTGCAAATAATCAGATTTTGCTTTACCAATTATTCTGTTTTACTATTTTATAATTTATTAATTTCATTTTTCATTTTATAATTTTCTTCCTTTTGCTCTCCTGAGGTTCACCTTGTTGTTGTTTTTTAACTTTTTAAAGTAAATCCTTAATTCACTCGTTCTTTCTTGCTTGACAGTATTTAAAGCCTTGTATTTTCTACTGAATATGGCTTTGGCAGAGCCCCATAAGTTTTAACATGCAGTGTTTTTATTATCTCTTTATTTTCTAGATATTGTAAATTTTTTGGTATTATCTTCATTAGTTAGAAATAGTACATTTTGATTTTTGTTTTCATGAGAAAGTATTAAGAAATTTAATTTTTTTTTTTATTTTTTTTTTTCAACTTTTTTAAATTTATTTTTGGGACAGAGAGAGACAGAGCATGAACGGGGGAGGGGCAGAGAGAGAGGGAGACACAGAATCGGAAACAGGCTCCAGGCTCTGAGCCATCAGCCCAGAGCCCGACGCGGGGCTCGAACTCACGGAACGCGAGATCGTGACCTGGCTGAAGTCGGACGCTTAACCGACTGCGCCACCCAGGCGCCCCAAGAAATTTAATATTCTTAAGCTAACTATGTATTTAAGGGTTGAGATGGTGATATGAAAAATATATTTGCAAAAACATGCTAAGCACAAAATCTGCATTTAAGATTATATAAAGTTAATAGAATATACTTTTATTTGCATGGTGTAAATTTATCAACCTGCATTGGGTTTAATTTCAAAATTCACAGCCTAATAAGATACTAGGATTAACAAATTTATTAAATATGTAGGGCTATCCAATAGCTATGAAATGTCTACTATATCTCCAACATTGATGTGGAAAACTGAGTCCCAAAGTAGAAGTCATGCTCTCATGTCTTCCCACATTTTCTTAGTTCTCTAGAAATGGTAAATTACAGCTTTTATAAAGAATCTTTGAATACAGGTCACTTGGAAGACAGAAATGCATTCAGTCTGTAAGTTCTGGCCCATTATGGTGGACACTGATCATCACAATAAGAGACAACCTCTGACATATTACTTGCCCAATAAATGATGATAAGGTCAATGTCTCTGAAACAGTGAGGACTATTGTGGTATAGTCTTCATATGAAAATGTTGGGGTTCAGGGGGGAATGGTAAGGAAAAAATTCTTGAGGCATCTTTTGTGCAAAAAAGGGGGTTTCATTCAAACACCGACAGGACCCGTGAGCAGAAAAGGCTGCATTGCAGACGTGAGGAGTGGCTGATTATATACTTTCAAATTGGGAGGGGGCTAGGGGTAGCGTAAGTCTCTAAGGAATTTGGAAGCAAGATTTCCAGGACCTTGAGGGGCTAGCTGTTGTTAGGAAGAGGTCATTTATTACTGTCTAGTAAAACCTTAATCATGAGACCCTTCAGATGTATATCAGGGGGCCATATGCTTGGAGTATGGTCGCTAACATATATGTCTGGAGGGGGTAGAGATGAAGAAAATTTCTAAAGGAATTTTTTTATGTTAAAGGAGACTTACAGGATCCTGGAAGTGAGGTTAATGTTAAGCTAAGATTCTCTTTTGCCTTTAGCAAAGTATTGACATTGAGGCAGTTGAGTTCCTAGAAGAAGGTCACTCTGCCTGTCTCAAGGACTTGTCAGTGGGCTCTAAGTTGTAAGGAAATTTAACTTTTTCTTTTGCCTTTGTTCCCTACATCAGTCTGAGGAACACATGGCAGCATGTCTGTCCCTCAAATAGGGACATTTTCCATCATATAAAGCCCCCACGGCCCCTATAATTGTATGTGCATTATTAATATTAATATTATTAATGTTAATGTGCACACACAATCAAGTAATAGAAATATACTGATCAAAGCTTAATTTGTGAATATCTGAAAATGACAGAAATTTTCAAACTGGGTTGAATTGTGAAGCACATACCATTTTAAATGTAACCTTCTGACCTTCTTCCATTGCGTGGCTAGAAAATAATAAATTAGAAATAAATCAGTAAACTAAGGAATGAAGTTAATTTTCATACAAAGCAACCTAATGATTTCGACGGGTATTATTATTTCTTCTTTTATCTAGTTTGCTCATCTTTCCATCCGTTCTCCACTTCATTGTTAGAGTTAGTTTCCAAAATGCAAATCTTACCATATAGCTCTTCTTAACTTAATAATAAAGTTGAAATTCCTTAGTTAATTATTTCACTAGTTAATTCATGTTGATTCTTCAAATTCAGCTTTTAAAACCTTCTCTGTACCTCCTCCACTCTCTGACCTGGGTTAAGTGCATTTCTTTTAGAAACCACAGCCCTGTGGGCACCTGTGGGCTCAGCAGGTTAAGCATCCAACTCTTGATGTTGGCCCAGGTCATGATCTCAAGGCATGGTTAGTGAGTTTGAACCCTGAGCTGGTCTCTACACTGACAGCACAGAGCCTTCTTGGGATTGTCTCTCCCTTTCTCTGTCTCTGGCTCTGTCTCTCTCTCTCTCAAAACAAATTAATTGATTAAAAAAGAAAAGAAAAGAAAAGGATATGAAAGAAAAGAAAAATAACCCACAGCCCCTGAATTGAAGGTGCATTTAACATAGTAATTTGTATTTGTTTATTTATCAGTTTCCTGTATTAAGCTGTAAACTCTTAGAGTATAAGATGGAATCCTATCTATCTGCATACTTCTAACCTTTGGAACATTGCCCAGCACCCAGTAGAAATTCAAAATATAGGTGCTAAATAAATGAATAAAAAAACATCTCTGGTAATGTAGTAAGGATACAAACATTTTTTTGGCAAGTGTAACTACTTAGAAAGAAACTCACATTTCACAGACAATTTGGACATACAAAACACTAAATACAATTACAAAGTTTTTCTACTTACAACCTCTAATATAGTTGATTGTTTTACTTTTAAAAACATGAAAATAGTCATAATTCTTCCAGTATCTCCTGCATCAAATATTTAGTAAATATTTCTTTGGAACTTAAGGAATAATGCATCTTTAAGATACTCATTTTCTGCACACGAAATTTTATAGAACTAAACTGATTAATGGGTGAAATTTGGGGTATTTACAAACATGCGGAGTGGATTAAAGAAAAGATCAGAGATACCATAACATTAAAACAATACGGTGGTGGAAGAAGTTAACCTCAGACTATAATACCTGATGTCAGATATCTATAAACAAACTTCAACTTAGTGTAAATAAATGCACAGGGTATTTTTCAATTTTAATATTGAATGCTTTTTTTTGAATACAGTATTTGCATACCCTGAATAAAAACTGTCTCCGAACTTGGCTTGCAATAGGACCTTGGAATTCTTCCTGGAAGAGAAAATGAGGGCATTACAAATCAACTAACAGTAAAAATAAGTGAAAATTCTTCTTGAGAGTATAGTGAAGCTCAAAGGTATTTTCAACGATCATAATTAGACAAAGAGGGAATCAAGGGCTTGAGTACATAATTCATACCAATAAGTAATCTTTGTATGTATACCTGAAGAATTTTCAACTAGCAAAATTGCCAGGATGTTATATTTTAAAATAATTTCCTAGGGGTGGCTGGCTCAATTGGTAGAACGTGCCACTCTTGATCTCAGGGTCATGAGTTTGAGCCCCATGTTGGGAATAGAGTTTAGAGTTATTTAAAAAATTTTTTTAAATAACTAATAAAATAATTCCCTTATCAACATAACAGCTTCTAGGAAGTTCATCAGTTGTATGTATATTCATCGGTAAGTAGAATGAGAAATGACAGTTCATAGATAATTAACTATATTTAATTTGTTTGAATGAAATATTTCCTTTTTTTTTTTTTCAACATTTATTTATTTTTGGGACAGACAGAGACAGAGCATGAACGGGGGAGGGGCAGAGAGAGGGAGACACAGAATCGGAAACAGGCTCCAGGCTCTGAGCCATCAGCCCAGAGCCCGACGTGGGGCTCAATCTCACGGACCGTGAGATCGTGACCTGGCTGAAGTCGGACGCTTAACTGACTGCGCCACCCAGGCGCCCCGAAATATTTCCTTTAAAATACATACTGTATGTGCTAACACTTGAAAAGGGAACATATAAAATGGAATTGTGTCAGAGCTAAAATACACTATATTTCTATAAGGAATTGAAATTAAAATTGAGGGACAACTTTGGTAAACTATATTTATTCAATGAGACTTGAGTAGAGATTTTCCCAATATAACATATTCACAGATATTATAATGAAAAAAATACCAAATGGAAACAAACAAATTATTCAAAATGGGTATATTTTGAAGTACTTCTTTTCTTAAAACACTTCATTTTTAGGGGCGGCCGACTTCAGCTCTGGTCATGATCTCCCGTTTCACAAGTTCGAGCTCTGCATCCAGCTCTGTGCTGACAGCTCAGAGCCTGGAGCCTGCTTCAGATTCTATGTCTCCCTCTCTCTCTGTCCCTCCCCCACTCAAGCTCTGTCTCTCTCTCTCTCTCTCTCTGTCTCAAAAATAAATAAACATTAAAAATTTTTTTTAATTGCATTGTAAACAATAGCAAAAATATTTAACATTTTATGGTTTTCATAAAATTGGTTACTATAGCTTCCTATTTTCAACAATTTATTATAAAAGTGTCAGGATGGCAATCACTATGAAATCTGTCATCAAGACCTTTTAAAATTATTCTGTAATATAAGTATAATCATATATTTAAATTCTAAGAAACAGCCCTGACAGCTATTAATATTCTGAAATCCCTTATTGATTTGGGGTACCTGGATGGCTCAGTCAGAAGAGAATGTGACCCTTGATCTTGGGGTCATGAGTTCGAGCCCTACCCTGGGTGTAGAGATTATTCAAATAAATCAATAAACTTAAAATAAAAATAAATTCTGAAATACTTGATTTACAACAAATATATCTTAAATTCTCAATATTTTGTATCTAATTCTCATCCTGACTATAAACTCTCCAAATTACTTAATATTTAAAATATACTTATAGAGGGGCACCTGGGTGGCTCAGTCAGTTAAGCCACCGACTTTAGCTCAGGTCATGAACTTGT